AATTCAAGGTATCGCAAAGTCCCTACTTCACTTGACTTCCAGATTCAATTTATTCAGTGCTCACAAAACGGATAGCTCACTTGGCCAAAATTCGAGTACCTTGGGCTGTAGTAAGCAACTCTTTACCATGTTCAGTGCGTCTACTAACAAAAATTTTCAATAAAAAGGATCGATCTCGCTGTTTAGTTTACCTTTTCTTTCCAAATAGCTGAGAAGTCCAAACGATTTTAGATGGCACTCGATAACTCACAGTCCTAAACTAACAGAGACGAGATATTTAAACACCCTTAGTTATTGAAATAGCCTACTGTTGAGTAAATGAGGAGTATGTTCTTATAACATAGAAGCATTCTATGACGCTGGGTATCGTTTATTCAACCCAACAATAGTGAAGGCCCACTAAGGCACCAGGCTTTAGGGCTGTCATGTAAAACTCAAAGATGAACTGCTGATGAATGCTTAAGTACAATTTCAGCTTTTTCTCATAAATCTGATTAATGCTTAAACTGATTAAACTTTAAAACATAGGATTATTTTTCCCAATCACCCTACACACTGCTTAATCCTGGTCAATCGAGGAAAGATTGAATACGAGCTACACATATTAGAAGCCACATAATTTCGCTTTTTTTGGAGTGGGAATTCTAATCATATTAACTGCCAGGGCTAGCTACAGTACCACTTTTTTAATCCTTCACTCAATTCAAATTTGTTATTTTTAGTGGGGCCCACACAGTGGGATATGTCAATTAGGTCATAAGACTGTCACAATTATGCCAATACACATAATCACATACGCCGCTATCTTCTACCTGTTTTGCCTACGCTGTAAATCCATTATCACTCTCCTCTCCCCCTCCCCCTCCCCCCACCCCACCCCACCCACCCTTGTTGGAATTACCTTTTCCACTTGAAGTGCTATCAAAGATGGGTCTTAAAAGTTACCTTTCAACTCATCTTCATTCTTTTTCACAATCGCCCAAAAAAATCGAGTACAAATCTTCACTCTATATCAGGCTTGTTGGTAAATTCGATTGCAAACACATCTGATAAGTCAGCTTTTCAGTAAGCAAATAGGTGATGATATTGCATGCTTCAATTTCCCTCCAGAAATCAACAGTAATCTTGCCACCTTTTTTTGCGATTCCATCTAACTCATAATTGCTACTGAAAGGTTTTAGCCTCTACTTCCGTTTAAAAGTTTTCTCTCCAAGTTGAAAAAACAGTTATTCCCATAAATAGGGGAATCTAATTAGAATCTAATTATTGATTAAAAGAAACAAGTTGAGCGAGTAATTTGAACAAAAAATGCATAAGTGTGAAGTATAGTGAAATGGATACGCTGCCAAAACCAATTCTTTCTAGAGGAAAAAAAGAGAAATTCAGTGAAGGCTAAATTTTACCAAAGGTTAGAGACTCACAAATCCTCTAAAGTTTCGTTTTTGTTTCAATCAGTGCACAAGATTTAAGAGAAAGAGCGTGAATTGAATCCTAAAATCGAGCGTACGCAGTTTGCACGAAAAAACTGTGAATTAATTGGGGTCAACCACACAATGAGAGAGAGAGAGAGAAAGAACACCTTGGAACAAGAAGTTGGCAAAGTGTTGAAAACTCTAAACTACGGAATCATGAAAAGGAGAGGCTTGTCAAGAGGCATGGGGTTTGTTTAAATGTAGTCGGGTAACGGATTTCATGTGAAACCGCGTTACCATTTTTTCATTAACCATCAATCACCCACATTCCAAATCGAAGCGAAGAAATTTAGCTTCCCAAAGCTGGAAATCATTGTAAGAATAGAAGTCAATTGAGCATTATTTGACTTTCACAGGAGTAAAGAACATTCAGTCATTGGCTAAATACCTTAAAATGCTTAAACTACTTCGATCGAATTCAAATATAGGGGTACGCGATAGACTTACTTCATGCGGCAAAAAAGTCTATAAACTGGCAGTTGGCTTCTCACTTCAAACTACCACACCCCACTCCACGTCATATTCGACTTCTAACATAGTACTCATCTCACCTTTGTATCTATCTCCTTTACGTCTTTGAAACACTCTTCTATTCCCACCCTCTCTCGAATTTTTTCACTTTGATGTTTATTCCCCTCTGTGAAGCCTGAAGTCAACTACAGGGCTAATGATAACTATCAAAACGCATGCCATTCGATGTAAATAAATAAATAAATAGTTTTCAAGTAACTAGCTATTCGTAATAATTGTACTGTTAATCTATAAGCTATGCTCTGTACAATCTCACTTGTTTTGGAAAAATAAGATTTTATTGCGAAATTTTGATCAGGTGGTTTCATGTTGATATTTGAAGAAGCACTCAAAAGAAAAAAAAAATTATTTGCAATGGTAAATATTCTATGTCTTAATTGAAAGTAGGATGACACTGGCTTATATTCGTACCATTGAAAGTCAAACACCGTCAATAAGTATTTTTTAATAAAAATCCAATAGATAGAAATATTTATTTTTTATGAGAATATAACAAAAGTCTAATATAAAGAGTATGCTATGTGGGATATTATTAAGCTCCTCTTCGATTTTAATGAAAAATATTTTTTAGGTGGCACCTTATTTCGACATGAATTGAATTTCAAAAATTAAATGACCAAGAATGCAAAAAAGTATTGTATATGAAACAAAATAAAAGCAAAGTAAAAGAAGTAATAATTTCTAAAAGTATTTGACCTCGCTCAAAATAAAAAAGATAGCTTTTGCAACTAACCTTATGCAAAAAGGCAAAATATTTACTAAAATACATATGCTCACTACTAGTATAGACGAGATTGATTTATTATTTGAAATAATATCGGTAACTGTATCAATTAATTGGTATGAAAACAAATTATAATTAATATGCATTAGTAGTTAAAGTGTATCTATTTTGAATATTCTGTCATTCGAGATAACCTAAGATTCACGATTTATATAAGTCGAAATTAATTTTCAACTAAAAACATAAAGTGTTAAGTTATTTGCAGATCACATTTCTTAATTATAAAGCCGTACTCTATAATGAATCAAATTTTCAGATTTTTCCTCCAGAAAACTTGTCTAGATTGATGAAATGTTAATTAACTCGAATTCAAAATTTATTAATATTTATATTATAGTGACTGACTTTAACTTATTTATGAATCCTGAACCGTTTATTTATGGATCTTCCTGCGTTTTCTACTACCTTGTAAAATTACGATTAATTTTGATTGGTCCTCTGTTCGTTACCGCCTAATTAATCTCTACCTTGTGTTAATGGCTCTTGCACATTTTGCCCGGAGTAATTCTTTGTTCTGTGTTAAACAGACGCCGAAATTTTCTTTGCGAGGGCTCCAACTGGCTTCAAGAGGAGACTTTGAGCCTAAAAAACCACCAGCGTTTGATTTCCTCAGCACGGGTTATCCACAATGGTATATGTTTGATAATACAAAACATCGATTCACCGAGAACACTAAGTTTATCTGCGTAGAAGGAAATATTTGTAGTGGTAAAGGACACGTTGCTCAAAAAATTGCTAAGTATTTTGGAATGGACCATCATGCTGATCCTACCGATGCCGATATTTTTACTCTGAAAAATTATAAACCGACTATTGATGTTCGTATGCACAATACGATGCTTCCAAAAGATGCACAGTACTTTACCACAGAGATGTTCTGGACTACGGAGAATGTAAAAGAACAGGGAAAACCTTTATATTTGCAATACCAATATTATATTAACCGCTACTTTAACTATCTTCGAGCACTCTGTACTCTCTTTAATACCGGCAAAGGTGCCGTCATTGATCGCAGCCATTTTTCTGATCTTGTTTTCGCCGAGGCTCTTCTTAAGTGTGGCTACATTTCCCAATATGGTATGATCTTGAGATAGTGTTTTTAGATTTGTTCCTTAGGTTATGACTGGTTTAGTTATTTCCATGCTAATACTGCTCTTAATTTGTGGAAACCTCATCTTATTGTGTACGTCAAAGCCTCTACAGATCAAATTCGTGAAGAAATAAAGAAGAGGGCTATTG